TCTCTCTCTCTCTCTCTCTCTCTCTCTTCTCCCTCTCTCCGTCTCTCCCTCTCTCCCTCCCTCCCTCCCTCCCACATATATTGTGCATGCACACACGTTTTTAAAATAAAATCACCCAATATCACGAATAGCATGCCCTGCTCGATGGTAATTACGTATACTGGGGCAACGATTATCTCTTTTCCCTTCTTTGTCTTTGTACTACCTGATTTTGGGTCAAAATACCTGAAACTGACAATAAATTTACCTAAAACGGGAACTTTGAGGTAGGCAGCCCTGGATAGCATTTCATTTTGACTTAAGTTATAAGAACATTTTCATAACAGCAGCATATGCTTTCTCTTCAATCAAGGACAAAGTTTTAAATGATATGATGGGCACATTGTTCACTAACAGAATTTTTTGAATAAGTTAAATTAAAAAATTATGGTTGTCAAGGAGCATTAAAATAAAACTACTCAAACAAGCCATTCATAGTAGTTTCATTTGCAGAGCTTATTTAAATTTTCACAATTTTTCAAATATTTCAGAGTGAAGCTGAGCAGGCTAAGTTAATTGAGACAGAGGACTATCAAGGTATGACCTTTTGTTATTTCCTATTATAGATGTTTGTTTACTGTGTACAGCCTTTACCGGGTGTCCATTGCGGATGGGATGGGGTTGGGTCTGGTCGATCGCTTGACTTGTAGCCTGAAAACAAACGAGTTTGTTTCTGAGGCGACAAGTCGGGTGATTGGTTTTGTGCCACGATAGCCGCTTTGCGCCCTCAACCTGGCTAGCAGACTATCCCGACCTGACCTGATCGTGCCAGTGGGCACCCAGTAGTAGGCGCGTTGTGCAATGTCTCATACACCCTTTGTTTGGGAGCTCTGTTGGTGCTCAGACTATACAAGTTGATTCTTTGCACAAATTATTGATGGTTGCATTTATCTGTGTTGGTACCACTTCTCAAATTAGCTGTGGAAAATGCAGGATCAGTTTATTGAAAGAAGATTTACAATGCTGATTTGCTTGTTGATTAAATCTGCCCCCCCCCCCGGCAATGTCACTGACTGAAGTGTCTTTAGGCCATTCCCAAAAGGGGGATAAAAACATGTTCATATGCGCAGTAGAATTGTAAACGGGCTGTCTTTTCAATGTCATGCTTATACTGTGCCGAAACAACATAGGGGAAACTGCTACTTTTTCTTTCCTCATCCTAACATCATCATTTTTCCTCTACTTCTTTTGTATGTCTGTCACTCTTGTGAACAGCTATTTCTGGGGTGCCTTGATAGTCGAAGCAGACTTTGTGCTGTTGAGGCTAGAGAGATGAGCACAGAAAGCCTTATTCCCCGTTTGGACTTCTCTATGGACATCCACCCCTTGGCGCTCATATGACCTCATGCAGTTGCGAGCACCGTAAAAACCTTTATAAAAGATAAAATCTGTGAAATCTGTGATATAGAAAATGATCTCTGAGATTGTATTGAACCCCGTTATTTGCTTGGGGGGGGGCGCCTTGTGTTGGTTCTATTTTTGTATGTTTGTTTTTTATTGGGATGTTTGGTTGTGGGTTTTTTTCTAAAAATAATCATAACAGCATAGCAGCATGGACTGACTTATCTTTTCCTAGTATTAAAAGGTCTTTAATGGCTTTAGTTGCAGTATTGCTATAATATTATGATCAGGTGAAGACATAATGTGAAGTTCCAGGAAGTAAGAACTTATAAAATGTTTTCTGTTCTTTATTTTCCCCAGAAAAAGTGTTTGATATGCCATGGTTGTATTTGACATGTGACCTTCCAGCTCCTCCACTGTACCCAGATGAATCAAGAGAAAATATAATTCCCCAGGTGAGGCATTGTTTTGTAGGTGTCGGATGCTAACTGTATATCAACCAGTTTAGGTCAAACACACATTTTTTTCCCCTCAAATTATATGCAGTTGTGAGTTCCGAAAAACATACCAAAACAAAACAAATTATGTACTCAGCTGTGATTATGATTGACAATACATATATATATATATGCTGTGTAAAAAGAACACTCTACATGGTATTGTGAGCAATTCTGGCAGATAGATCTAGTTAGAAAGATTG